TAAGACTGTATAGCATTATTCAGTTTAAATGCTTTTCTTCAAACCTGAATTCATGAAACTGACAATAATTCAACACGTAGTCGTAATGAAACATATTCTTGGAAAGATATGAGTTATGTATAGCCGTATCATTCCTATATTCATGTCTACATCTTTTCACTTTTATAAAACGTTTTTTTATTACTTGTTTTGTGACGTTTTTCCTCCTGAATAAAAGTTAGGGTATCTTATGAATATGTGTACTAAAATTTAATATTATGTGTATTGATTTCTCTTTTACTCCTTCGCTTCTTACACAATATAAGGGTTGGCTCCTTAAAGACACCGATTGTATAGTGTACAAAGCATTGAGTATTTTACATGTTACAGTCATCTAATGTTCATCTATTATTGGGGTAAAGATAATTTCATTTACACTAGAATTACGATATTTTTAGCCGGTTCCCAAGTAATCTTAAAATGCTTTTCTGTCGTACTAAAGCCACCGCGAAAAATACACACATTTTTGGCTAGCGTGGAAAAGAAAAAAGAAAAGAAGAACACTTTGGCTAGTTCCAAATTCTCCACTTTAACAACACTCTTCTATCATATTCGAAGTCTTAAAAGCTGTGAAACACTCGATAATGGCAAATAGGTGCTCAAATAAGGTTATAATTCAACTTTAATAGTTATTTGTAAGCATCATAGAGTAACAGATTGAATGCGGCAGCCATTTTTTTCTCGGCCCATCCCTACATAATAAATACTGACGTGCTTAGTGATTACTGACTTAATTAAAGTATCTATTGATGTCCTCATTTTTGGATCAGTTTTGTAAGCTATAGATATCGTTATTGTTAAGGTACCCTGGTCAGGTATGGGTATCCTCATTTCTGGATTAGCTAAGTCATCTTCTGTTATCTTTATTATTGGATCAGTTTGTTGAGATAAGAACATAGTTATTGTTGGGAGTTCCTTAGTCAGGTATGGGTATCCTCATTTCTGGATTAGCTAAGTCATCTTCTGTTATCTTTATTATTGGATCAGTTTGTTGAGATAAGAACATAGTTATTGTTGGGAGTTCCTTAGTCAGGTATGGGTATCCTCATTTTATGATCAGCTAAGTCATCTTCTGTTATCTTTATTAATGTATCAGTTTGTTGAGATAAGAACATAGTTATTGTTGGGAGTACCTCAGTGAGGTATGGGTATCCTCATTTTATGATCAGCTAAGCCATCTTCTGTTATCTTTATTAATGTATCAGTTTGTTGAGATAAGAACATAGTTATTGTTGGGAGTACCTCAGTGAGGTATGGGTATCCTCATTTTTTGGAGTAGGTAAATTCCTTATGGTCTGTTTCGTTGTTCCCACTACTAAGTTAAATGATAAAGACAACTTAGATTCTCTAATATTGTGATTTTTATATTTTGCTGCTTTCATATGGTGTTGTAAACTGCCTGTTTTAACGGTGCATGATGACCTTTTCAAGAGAAACCTGACTCAGTATTAATGATAAATAACCTTATTTATCTTATCATTATTAGTCGAGTTCCTGAGCCAACCAATCACGAAATATCCCGGCCTGGATGGACGTATGTCTTTCAAACTTAACAGAATGTATAAGTTTCTTTATTTATAAAACGTGGATGAGCAAGACAGGTTTTTCTTGTTCCTACAAACAGTTTCGCTGCTTTAAAAAACACAGCTGGTTGTTGTTGCTTAGCAGAAAAACACGTCTCTTCAAGAGATTCTATCTCTTTAAGTTTTCCAATGACAAAAAGTAAGGCAGGTCTTGAACTATCACCTTGTCTCGTGCGAAGCCACAACCCCATGTTACGCTCGAGCTCCCAGGTGTAGCGGTGAACCATAGAGGTACGTGGACAATCGTACCACACGTGCTTTTATTCTCCAATTTTCTGTCATCTCAACTGAAATGGATCCCCTGCCGGTCACGTGCCATGAAAAAGACACCCAATTGTTCATCGCTCTTCCAAGGGTACCGTTATAATTTCACGTACCAGGTGCCCACCCCCTCACATAACAGGGTTACTGGAACTTTTAGTTGGTCGCTGGCTGACCTAACCACATTGGGCACAATGGGTGAAAGGTTTCACTAGACTTCTTCCATAAAAACGACCATCTGGTTTCACATCTATATGTAAAATGCGTTGTTTGGTATTGAGTTAAAAGAGCGCGGGGGTGGAGGACACGGTGGTCATTCGTTGGTCAGTTGACTGCTTGATACTTAATGGCCATCTGTTCTATAGTTAGTGTTTGACGTCTTTAGAATCTTTTTGCAAACTTTGTTGATTTATTCGAACGCAAATCGTCAATTTTCCAAGCTACAAATAAATCTTTAATTCCACTTTCTTTCACGTGAGCAATTCGCACGCGACGGAAACCGGCGTCATTCTAATTCTATACACAATGAATAATACCTTACTTTCTCTCGTGAAAGTGACATGGGGCTGGTTATTTGTGACGTAAAACAGGGAGAAAGTAGCATACAGTCATAAAACAACCACTGTAGCTGACTGTCAAAAGTAATTCACATTCACACGTGTTTCAAGGTTTATAATTACTGGGATCTCGAGTGCAATATCTCAATCACAAGTCTTTCAAGGTTTATAATTACTGGAATCTTGAGTGCAATATCTCAATCACATGTGTTTCAAGGTTTATAATTAATGCAATCTTGTGTACAATATCTCAATCACAACCGTTTTAATATGAGAGCCTGAACGTTTTCTATATAATCTAAAAACGTAATAACATAAATTCGATGTACCTGATGATGACAAAACCTTGTCGAAACGTTGTACATTTGCTGTTATGTTAAACTTATATTAAAGTTTTTCTTCATTACCAGTTCAAGCCGTCTCCAGCCATTATTAGTAATAACATAAAGTCTCGAAAAATTTTATCATCCGAATTTGTTGGGTTAGAAATATTGTAAAATTATTATGGATAAATCACACACTGTGTATATTGTAATCTTTTTTTCCATCATGTAATTTATATATGAAGTTCCATATGAGTTTAAAACGTAAAGACAGTTTCACTGATATCTTAGTCACTCTTGAAATAACATCAATTACAGAAGGTGTTTCTGGTTTACTGTAATATCAGATGATCAGTTTTCAACGAGATCACGTTTTGATGTTTGAAGTAATATAGTTTTGTTGATGTTGCTTGTATCAGGTGTATCAAACAATGCAGTGTTGTTAGCGTTGTTTGTATCGGGTGAATGTATGTATCAAACAATACAGTGTCGTTAACGTTATTTGTATCGGGTGAATGTATGTATCAAACAATACAGTGTTGTTAAAGTTGTTTGTATCGGGTGAATGATGTATCAAACAATGCAGTGTTGTTAACGTTGTTTGTATCGAGTGAATGTATGTATCTAACAATGCAGTGTTGTTAACGTTGTAAAGGGTGAATGTATGTATCAAACAATACAGTGTTGTTAACGTTGTAAAGGGTGAATGTATGTATCAAACAATACAGTGTTGTTTGTATCGGGTGAATGTATGTATCAAACAATGCAGTGTTGTTAACGTTGTTTGTATCGGGTGAATGTATGTATCAAACAATACAGTGTTGTTAACGTTGTTTGTAACGGGTGAATGATGTATCAAACAATACAGTGTTGTTTGTATCGGGTGAATGTATGTATCAAACAATGCAGTGTTGTTAACGTTGTTTGTAAATCGGAATATTTTAATACATATTAGCTTATATTTACTTACTCAGTATTTCTGAATTGTGAACTTTTTCGTTTGTAATTAATTATTCCTAGTGCGGTCTCAACTTTGATAAACGCCGATATCAGTCAATGTACCCGATTTAAAATATGTAGATATGTTTCTTTTTGAGTGTGAAACTACAGAATGACCAATTTGTGTTGTGTCCGCCGCTGGTGTCAAACGTCGAATCTTAGCGTTGTAAATCCTCGATCCTACAGCTGAACTTTGTGTTTATTAAGACAATTACAAGTTAATGTTGAGGCACAAACTACAGAATGGGCTATATTCTCTGTTTCCGACGAGAGAATCGAACCCAGAATTCTAGTGTTAGAAGCTGTACAGCTTATCGTTTAGCCACCAGAAAACTTTATATAAAACTGGGCAACATTCCAGATTATATCCAAGGCAACAATATTCTTTCTTTCAGCGTTAGAACGTTAGCTTTACCTAATAATTGTTAGTCTAAGAATTAATACAAAATACTTAGTATATGACTTTTTAAATATTTTAATGCACATGCATTTTTGGTTCCTTTCTCAAAATTATTTCCCCTTTTCTATAGTTTATAGTTTTCACATTTAAACAACACGATGTCTTTGTTGTTGTTTTTCACAAGCTGCCATGTTTCCACAAATAAATACCTGGCAGTTATATTTTGAACTGGTCATTATTTCAAAATGTAGTTAACAACTCCGAAGTAATCACATTTAACTGTCTATCTAATTTTTTCTTAATCTTAAATAATTCTGGGATTTTAACCATAAAAACTGATCGTTGTTTAGATAATTGTTCTTTGAATTACAAGGTTCATATGCAAACTTTTCAAAACAGTTCTTTTCTTTGTAAAAAATATCATTTTTCAACAAAAAGACAGTTAAATTATAATTAAAATTATAAGGACTTACAGAGTAAACTCAAGCTCCTCCAGATTCTCCCGAAATAGTTATTAAAGTCTACAAAATCTTATACCCTTATAATCTCTTTAATGAAGTAGAAGAAAAAAAATGAGTTATTACTAATGTCTGGGATTACAGTATCGGTTGTATTAATACTGATGTCTGGGATCACGTAAACGGCTGTATTATTACTGATGACTGGGATCACGTAAACGGCTGTATTATTACAGATGTCTGGGATCACATAAGCGGCTGTATTGTTACTGATGTCTGGGATCACGTAAACGGCTGTACTGTTACTGATGTCTGGGATCACATAAGCGGCTGTATTGTTAATGATGTCTGGGATCACGTAAACGGCTGTATTGTTACTGATGTCTGGGATCACATAAGCGGCTGTATTGTTACTGATGTCTGGGTTCACGTAAACGGCTGTATTATTACAGATGTCTGGGATCACATAAGCGGCTGTATTGTTACTGATGTCTGGGATCACGTAAACTGCTGTACTATTACTGATGTCTGGGATTACAGTAGCGGCTGTACTATTACTGATGTCTGGGATCACGTAAACTGCTGTACTATTACTGATATCTGGGATTACAGTAGACGGCTGTATTATTACTGATGTCTGGGATGACAGTAGCGGCTGTACTATTACTGATGTCTGGGATCACGTAAACTGCTGTACTATTACTGATGTCTGGAATTATAGTAGCGGCTGTACTATAACTGATGTCTGGGATTATAGTAGCGGCTGTATTATTACTGATGTCTGATATTACAGTAGTGGCTGTATTATTACTGATGTCTGGAATTATAGTAGCGGCTGTACTATAACTGATGTCTGGGATTATAGTAGCGGCTGTATTATTACTGATGTCTGATATTACAGTAGTGGCTGTATTATTACTGATGTCTGATATTACAGTAGTGGCTGTATTATTACTGATGTCTGGGATCACGTAAACGGCTGTATTATTACTGATGTCTGGGATCACGTAAACGGCTGTATTATTACTGATGTCTGGGATTACAGTAGCGGCTGTATTGTTACTGATGTCTGGGATTACAATAGCGGCTGTATTATTACTGATGTCTGGAATGACAATAGCGGCTGTATTATTACTGATGTCTGAGATGACAGTAGCGGCTGTATTATTACTGATGTCTGAGATGACAGTAGCGGCTGTATTATTACTGATGTCTGGGATCACGTAAACGGCTGTATTATTACTGATGTCTGGGATTACAGTAGCGGCTGTATTGTTACTGATGTCTGAGATTACAGTAGCGGCTGTATTATTACTGATGTCTGGGATGACAATAGCGGCTGTATTATTACTGATGTCTGAGATGACAGTAGCGGCTGTATTATTACTGATGTCTGGGATTACAGTAGCGGCTGATGAAAGTAAACGGATCTTGTTTTTTTTGAAAATTCAAAATAAGAAGATCATATTGTTGTTGTTGTTATAGGTTGACGTGTAATAACCGTTGATCATAAATAACTTTAATCTTATGACTTCAGTAAACCAGTTAGAGAATGACACTACCTCGGTTCGTAGTGTCTGGAATAACGCCTCCCATTGATTCCTGTGTTTACGAGGTGGTCCAGTTAGTTCTCTTTCATTAAGTTAGGGTAAGGAAAGTAGTAAGTACATCATCAGTGGGTTTCAAGTCAGCAAAAAGCGTCGTCAGCAGCTGTCTATAATACAGTTGAAATAATGATAACTTCATACTGAAAGAGTTGTAAAATATTTCAGTTTTGGGGTTTGTTTCATCTCAGTTAATTAAACAAATCACACTTCGCCATATTCAGCATCATACTAACTTTTTCAAGTTGTTTGTTTTAATTTTTTATCTTGTTATTGTTTGTTTGTTTCAAGTTCTTTGTCATTGTTTGTTTATTTTCAAGATCTTTGTAATTGTTTGTTTTCAAGTTCTTTGTTATTGTTTGTTTTCAAGTTTTTGTCATTGTTTGTTTATTTTCAAGATCTTTGTTATTGTTTGTTTTCAAGTTCTTTGTTATTGTTTGTTTTCAAGTTCTTTGTCATTGTTTGTTTATTTTCAAGATCTTTGTTATTGTTTGTTTTCAAGTTCTTTGTTATTGTTTGTTTTCAAGTTCTTTGTCATTGTTTGTTTATTTTCAAGATCTTTGTAAGTGTTTGTTTTCAAGTTCTTTGTTATTGTTTGTTTTCAAGTTCTTTGTCATTGTTTGTTTATTTTCAAGATCTTTGTTATTGTTTGTTTCAAGTTTTTTGTTATTGTTTGTTTGTTTTCAAGTTTTTGTTATTGTTTGTTTGTTTTCAAGTTTTTTGTTATTGCTTGTTTGTTTGCACATTCTTTGTTATTGCTTGTGTTCAAGTATTTTGTTATTGTCTGTTGATTTTCAAGTTCTTTCTCATTATTTGTTTGTTTTTGGATATTTGCACAAAGCTATTCAGGGCACTAGCCATCCCTAATTTTGAACTAGAGGAAAGCCAGCTAATGAACAGCACTCACCGCCAACCCTTGGGCTGCTCTTATTTGACAAAATATTGGTATTTAATTCTCATGTTACCCACAACCCCCAAGTACGAAGCACGATGTTTTTTGTTTGTTTTTAGTGTTAACAGGGACACGAAAACCGGACACCCCGATCCACAATCCGGCACACTAACTGTTGGGCCACGCTTAGCCCTCTTTGTTATTGACTATTTGAAATTACTATGTAAAAAAAAGACCTCGTCCGTTTGATTTAATTTGCTACAGATTTTTTTTTAAATGCTACAAGTGTAAACTAGGTTTCGATACCCGCGGTGGGCAGAGCACAGATAGCCCATCGTATAGCTTTGCGCTTAACAAAAACCAAACAAACACAAGTATTAGCTTCTAATGTTACGAGAAAAACACCTTGATTTTGTGTGTGTGTGGTATCTCTAATACCACTGATCGAGTTTGAATACAAAATAAAGCTAATGAATGTTCTGGAATATTCTGGAATTGCAAAGTTCCAACTGATGAGTCATCATTTATCCACGAGAAATTTCTTTCACTTTCACGATCGGATTTCATTAAATCCCCAACGACTTGAAGCCAATGTTTTATTGATGGAATGCAAGGATTGTGGCTATTAACATCGTAGACGAATAGTAGTTCATCACAGGCTTTATCAGAGTGACCATTTGGACAACACACGTGATTGATGGTCAAAGAAAGGTTTGGACAAGTGGCTACAGACGGGAGGGAAGGGTTGGCCGGTCTGTTTACTACGATGATGATTCAGCCTCGAGAATTGAAGTTAAATCTGTTTGGAACGTGTATTGTGAGTCACAGTACTGGAAGGGTTAACATAGACACATAGGCACTCGCAGTTCACGTGATTAAAGAAGGAAATGATGCACGTATTAAGTTTCGTATTTCAGTTATTCTCATTTGGGTAAAAAGATATCAGTATCGATAATGAAGGTTATTAAAATCATTTCTATAATGTACTGTTATAGTTTCTAAAGGACCGTTATTAAAATCATTTCTATAATGTACTGTTATAGTTTCTAAAGGACCGTTATTAAAACCATTTCTATAATGTACTGTTATAGTTTCTAACGGACCGTTATTAAAATCATTTTTAT